TATTTGATAAAATATTTAATATGTATAATTATTACAAGGATGACGTTAAAAAAAATAAATGTGAAAGAAAAAGTGAATTTAGATCTTAAATTTAAAACCGAATTGAGTGTGAAATTAACTTTTATTTCAAGAATCAGAGGTAATACTATCCTATTACACACTCAAATACGACACACATACTTTCTCCAGATCACATGGAAGTGCTCCTTCTACATGGATTCAGTGGTTAAAGGACTGGACAGGCTCACCAAAAAAAGCGAGACTGTTGGCAGAGGCATCTCATACTTGGATAGAGCACGGGATTTGGAGCTAATTCCCGCATGGTCAATGGTTTACTTCAACCTATGACCTAGGCTCAGTAAGGTTACACAAAGGGCGGTGTGTGCCAGCGATTAAGTTGTGTAGCCGAAGCTGGTGAGTGGACTAAACCTCAGACTAAAATTTTGAAAGAATTACAATGGGATCTTAAAAAAAAAAAAATTACAAAGTAAGTCTTAAATGTCATTGTTTTCTATCTTAAAACTTGTTATTACAGTTGCTTAAGTTATTATTAAATTTTTTTAGTAATTATTTTTTCTTAAAGACTTTATTATAATTTTGACTAAAATTTTTGCAAAAAATAAAAAATATTACATGGGGATTTCAGGCGTCTGTGTTTGAGCCACTCTCGTAATACAGCGCGGTTCGCATTGGAGGTCGTGGCTCTATTTACTAGTACCTCATAGGTACAGCTACTCTTGTCGTCATTCCTGTTCTGTCTTCCTTCCCTGCTTCCCCAGTTGCTCCCCACCCCGCAGATCAAGGGCAGCAGCACCTCCCATACCTCACCCACTGATTTGGATTCCTTTATTCCCTGTCAATGAAGATAACGAAAGATTTCTAGGAAATAAAATAAAATAAATTTAGTATAGATTTTTTTTTTCTTTTCACACGACTAATATGCGTGCACTGTGCACACATCCATTATGTCAGTACACCGCTGATGAAACCTACAATCTTTCCTTATGTTTCTTTTTATGACTCTTTCTGAGGATTTTGTTTCTATTTATACTTTTCATTATTTTAGAAGTTGAAAATGCAAAATCTATTATTATTTGCTATCTTTCTTGTCATTCACTATTATTTTTTAATAAGTGAAAAATATCGGCTTACTAAGATAGTTTTCTCCATTTTCTTTAAAAACTGCCTAATGCATTACTAGAAAAAAGATTTTTTTAGACCAATTAAAATGGGTATTCTACACTTAAGTTATACTCGATTTTAGAAGTTTTTTTACTTTTTACACCAGTTTTACAACTAGTGAAGAAAAAGTAACTTTTACACTAGTTATGTTGCCCACCAGTATACCCATTCGAAATTTTATAAAATAAGGTCAACTTCTAAGACCGGTTATATTTGTTATAGAACGTTTAAGAAGTGGATTTTTTTTTTAATTAATTTTTTCTCATACTAGCTAGTTCTTATATCATATGTCTTTTCTAATTTATTTCTTTTGCTTGCTCGCTCTATTTTGCTACCTCCAAAAGGGTTAAATGATTTTTAAGTGTTGAATTTTGTGGATATAATTTAACTTGATGTTTGAAGCTAAAGGCTAATTCTTTTTTCAAGGATTGGTGAAGTTGAATCTCACAACTCTTGGATTTGGACGATATTGTTCAATAATAATAAACATTTTAACCATTAGTGTCAGAATGGAATGAGAGGAGACTTTTCTAAAGGAAGAGGTGGAGGAAGGGTCGGATCATGCTCGATGTATGTCTCTGTCATCGAATATGAAGTTAACTTTAGTGTTAAGGGCGTAGTAGTTTATGGCGAGACAACGGAGGCACTGCTCAGTGGCTGCTACTCTTGTGAGTAGCTATTCGAACAGCGGCGGAGGCGGCGAGAAAGGCGGGGGAGGAGGAGCAGGGGGAGGTGGATCGGAAGTGGTGGAGGAGGAGGGAATGAAGGACAAACAACTAAGATTCTCTGGTGCTTCATCATAGTACCGACGATGATGAAAGAAAACAATGGAGAATAATAATTGGGTTCTTAATTTAAATGAATGGTGACAGGGTATAATGACCTCCAAACTTCAGATACGTTACTTTTGGGGAACGAAAATGAAAGACATAGGTTATTTAACATAACATATATACATGACCAAAATTTACATTCCAAAATGTCTTCTGTAAATAATAACTGTTACACGGAATGTGTGTGCAATCGACCTAAATACATGGCGTAAACTGAAGAGATTGTGGGAGTCAGTTCTCTTACAAAGGATCCATAACAGACGACTTTCCTCCTTTGAAAAGCTCTCTCTCTCTCTCTCTCTCTCGGCTTCCTCTAGTGTTACTTTTGCGTGGGTTGTAAAGAGTTGCTTCATGCCCAAAACTCTTAAGTATCTACTCCTCCGGTCCTTAATATAAGACCCATTTAACTAATTTGATTAGATTAAGGAAGTTAGGTAAGTTAGTTAATTATAAGAAATGTGACATGTTTTTCCTAAAATACCATAATCATCTTTTTTAATACCCCCCTTCCTCTTCTACGTGATTATGGTTGAGGGAGTATTCATAAGGATAATTTAGAGAAAATTGATAAATATGATAAATGGGTTTTATATTTAGGATCAAAACCAACTCAACAATTGGGTTCTATATTAAGGACCAGAGGAGTATTATCATATTTAGCCAACTGATATATATATAATATCTCTGGTCCTAAATATAAGAGTTAATTAGCAGTCCTAAATATAAGATCCGAATTCACTTTATCTCTCAAGTTTATAATGTACTCTGAAAAATATTCTTATTGATTATAAGATATTTTAACCTAAGTGTAGTTTTAATATGCATATGATTAAATAAGGATAGTTTAAAGAAGTAGATACATATTTGTTATAAATAACTAATTTATCTAATTTTCTTAATCTTTTCAAATTAGTTATCTAGTTTTTATATTAAGAATATGAGCTTGTGTGTGTGTCTATATATATATGTAGCTTTGTGAACTTGAATAGGACCGCCCCTCCATACCTCATTCTCAATTATTCCCTCTAATATATTTTTCATTCTGAACTGTATTTTTGGAGGCATCAGGCTATACCTTTTCATAATGTATTATTATTTTTAAACTTTATAAAAAGATATTATGCTACTGTGATACTTTTAGTTCTCAATTCTATGGAACATATTTTGACGCGCACGTACAACTAAACAGAAGGCTACTACTTCCTCCTTCCCATGGAACGAAGTTACCCCACGTTTTTGGCGGGGAGAAAGAATTGAGACAAAAAAAACATTAGCAGAAAATACGAGAGGATCAGAGTTTTTTTTTTTTTTTTTTGGGTTGCTTATTTGGTTTATGGAGGAAAAGCGAGAGAAAGAAAAAAGAGAGGCGAAAATGAAGGGAGAAAATATAGTCAAATAGAAAGGAGAGGGGAAAAAAATTAGCAGAAAAAGTTGAGTGTGAGGAGGGATATATTACTAAATAAAATTTATTTTAATATAATTTTTAATTAGGATTAAGATATAAATTTGCTTAAAAAGTTTTTACTCAAGACGCTAGGCACCCAAAAGTTTTTTTTTTAGTGCAAATCTACTCTGAAAGTTTAAAATTATAACAATTTTGCACCTTATCATTAAAAATGTTGACGGTCAATGTTATTATTTTATTAGTCAAGGGAGCAAAATTGCTATAATTTTAAATTTACTTGATAAATTTATACCCAAAAATACTTTCAAGTTCTTAGTGTTATTGAGTGAAAACTTTTGAAACAAATATACACATCAACCCTTTTAATTAAATCTAATATATCTTTTAATTACAAACACCTTCCATTTAAATAAATGGAAGGTGTAGTAATCAGATTGAAAAAAGAAAGGTGGTTAAAATATTTTACTTATAAAAAAGAACATTATTTTATGTCTTCCATTTGGATTCTTAAATTCATACTACCTTTCCTAGCCAAAAAAAAAAAGAAAGAAAAACACGCATATTCTTAATATAATATTTAGTTTGTAGTCAGTTGTATTAAAGCTGACAAATTTAACTGTGGGGAAAAAATAATTTGGCAGATTTATAACCTATGTACATTAGGAGTCTACTCATTTCATCTTTAGCATCTGAATTAGTCCTCGTGTATGTGACTCGGGTTACAGTGTGTCTCTAAACTCAGGAGTCAAAACCACTTGATATTTTGGAGGCATTTGGAAAACCATATAAATGCTCTTAAAAGGTACTACTTCCCATCCTTAATATAAGATCTTGTTTAATTTTTATTTTGATCCTAAATATAAGATCTCAATCTACTTTGTCTTTCATATTTATACATTTTTTCTAAGGTAATCCTTCTAATAATGGTAGTTCTAGCCAATACACTTGATTAACAATGATGTTTTAGAAAAGATAATACCTATCTATTACAAATAATTAACTTAATTTATTTTCTTAATTTTCTCAAATTAGTGAACTAGCTCTTATAATTAGGATTGGAGGTAGTATTTTCTTATGAATCGAGATAAATTCTTTCATATATTTACTTTGTATATCTTAAAATTATTTTTAAAATTATGATTTTGTTTCTACCTAAATATACCTTTTTTTATTTAATTTCACAGGCCTGTTTAGCCTCTTTCCAAAAGAATGTAGGCTTTCCAAATTTAGTAAAATAAGGCACCACGCCACCACCCTTAGCGTTTTATTACACTACCATTTATCTGATACACTAGGATGAAAGAGAGAGCCGAAATAAAAGCAAAGGGTCGAGATGATGATAATCGAAATAGTTTTAGTATTTATATACGGGAAATAATGTTGAAAAAGAAAACTGTCAAACCGACAAATAAACCGTCAAAATTTCGACACGTAACATAGCGGGATGCATGAGTCACCTATCTCGCTCAACGCAGATTCTTTAAAATCTGAAGCAATGAGCGTCGCAACATGCAACCACTAACCTCAGCCTTGGCCGCCATAGCCACGCCAAACTTTTCTCTCTCGGGATCCGTTTATTTCGCCATTTTCTTCATTCCCACTCTCTCAAAACAAACAGCCACACGGCTTCACAATCGTCCCGTGCTTCGGGGACATCCTTCTTCTCTCTCTTCTTTTCAATCTTCTTCCCTACTCTGTTTTTCAATTTCCGCCATTGGGTTTCTCTTCCTGCTTCAAAATCAAAACTTGATGAATTACTTCCTCTGAAAGGCAAGAGAAGAGGAAGATAAGATAAAAAAGTTCTCTCCTTTTATTCTTTTTCTTTTCTGGGGAAGAAATGGAGCAGAAAGGCTTGTTGATCTCAGCGTTAAGTGTTGGTGTGGGAGTTGGGGTGGGCATTGGGTTGGCTTCTGGGCAAAACGTAAGCAAATGGGGAGCTAATACTTGTTCCTCAAACGCCCTTACTGTGGAAAAGATAGAGCAAGAAATGCTTCGATTAGTTGTTGATGGCAGAGAAACCAAAGTCACCTTTAATCAGTTTCCTTATTATCTCAGGTTAGATACCCTGCAACATATCGTGTCACGACTAATTCTTTCTTAAACCTTTCGTCTTCATGTTTTGAAAGTTCATTTATTTCTTTGGTTACTAACTGCCCATAGTTGGTTTCTCATATGTTTCTGTGTTGCTAAACTGATGTTTCAATCACTATCCATTTCTGGGCTGCTTACATCTTCGTTCCTGTTTTATTCTTTACATGTTTCCGTCTTGTTTGTTAATTTGTTTCGTTTACTGTGATTATGGTTACTTAGCGTAACTAAATATTAATTCTCTAGCAAGGTAGAAGCTTGTTGGCATGCCTAAATACAAGATCTGTTTGTCCTATGCTAAGTTCTTTTTCTCACATGATTGACAAATGCCTTCGTAATAATTATGTGAAATTCTATTATTCCTGAGTGCATAATTACCTTTGTTTCCCTCCTGCTTCTTCTGTTGGCCGGAGGATAAGAGGGTGGTAAATAATGTATTGCGATGATTTACGTTGAATCTTTCCTACATCCCTATCTCTTGTTCTGAGGCCTTTTCGTTTCCTTGAAATTGTCAAGACTATAATTTCTATGACTATTTTCTTCTTTCTTACTCTGTTAACCATTGATTCCTTATCTCACGGACACGTTTCTTACTGGGAATAACATATATCAATATCACCTAATGCTAATTAAATGGGAGTTTCATCGAATGAAAGCATTTTTACTTGATCCTGAGCCATCCACATCTAGTTGGACTCAGATGAAAGTTTGATGTGATCATACATAGAGTTAGTAGTTCTTTTCTCTTTTAACATAAAAAATCTCAGTTCTGGTTTACCCTTTCCAACCTTTATATGATGATAGTGAGCAGACTCGCGTGTTGCTGACAAGTGCTGCTTATGTCCATTTAAAACATGCTGAGGTCTCCAAATTTACACGTAATCTTTCTCCAGCAAGCCGGACGATTCTACTCTCTGGACCAGCAGGTAATTTGCTCGGAGTTCCCTTGTTTTCTGAGAAAGGATTTTTTTTTTTTTGGTATTTACAGTCACATTCAGAGTAATTACTCGTTCCCCTCTTCTGTACAGAACTTTACCAACAGGTGCTTGCCAAAGCTTTAGCTCATTACTTTGAAGCAAAGTTGCTTCTGTTGGATTTAACCGACTTTTCATTGAAGGTAATTGTGAGAAATTTTTGTGTCATTCTATATATGCTTTCTTCTTTTGCTCATGAATGTAATGATTGGTTCGTCATCGGTGCAGATTCAAAGTAGATATGGTTCTGGCAATAAAGAATCCGTAAGATTTTTCTTGTTTCTCTTTTGCTTCTTTTACCTGTCTTTTGGATCAACTTTTTACATCATTTAATGCTTAATTCTCTCACAGAAATCTGTTTCCTAATATCATAGATGACTGTTCAGTACTTACTTGTTCTTTCTTGAACTAATATTAAACAACCTGATTTATTGTCATATTGTAGGCTTTTAAGAGGTCCACTTCAGAGTCAACTTTGGAGAGACTATCTGGCTTACTTGGGTCATTTTCAATCTTTCCACAGAAGGAGGAACCTAAAGGTACAGACTAATGCATGATTTGGCTGCACATGCTTCAGTTTCTAGAGTCTGCTTTATATCTGCAAATGAGGAAAGTAAGAATAAATGATATTTTTAACCTCAGAAGACATGCTGTGAAAGGTTTCGGACACTAAATAGGGAAGGAAGACTGATACAATTGGCTTTAAGTAGGGTTTGTTTCATGTTTTCCATTTTTCTGATGAGCCTGCATATGGAAATCAAGAAACAAAGTACTTATCCCTTTTTCCTTCTCTTGTCTACTGGGACATTAGCATTGCATTTGTATGTTGGTTAATGTAAATGTCATTAAACATGAACTATTATTGTAAGATCCATATGCCTGACCAGGGGCTTTTACTTGCAGGAAAAATCATTAGACAAAGCAGTGGCATGGACCTCAGATCAATGTAAGACTACATAATGTATTGACCACCATAACAAAATTAACTTCTTTTCTAGTTTGTTTTTATCATTTCTTAGTACATTCTTTTTCCTTTATACTTGCAGGGGAACTGATGGATCTTGCAATCCTCCTCGCATTCGTCGGAATGCTTCTGCCTCTGCAAATATCAGTAGCCTTGCCATGCAGAATGCTCCTTCTAATCCAGGTTACTTCAAGAACTTATGCAATGATATCAATGATGGTTGTTGGCTTGAAAAAAATAGTTCATACAATCATTCTCACTTGGTCAATATTTCTTTCTTGTGATTTTTTGTTCCATTTTCGTCTCACTTCAGGTCCTCTTAGGCGCACAACCAGTTGGTCTTTTGATGAAAAACTTCTTATACAATCTCTTTACAAGGTAACAGATGGAACTGTCAGGTTTGGTATTTTACTATACTTTTGAAATTAAGCAAGGCCGTAGATGATATTCTTTAGAAAGAAAATGACAAGTGGAAGTTGCTCTTGCAGGTCCTTAGTTATGTGTCAAAAACTTATCCCATAGTGCTGTATCTGCGGGATGTTGATAAGTTGATAAATAGATCACAAAGGACTTATAAATTGTTACAAAAAATGTTGGAGAAACTCTCTGGACCAGTTCTGATTCTCGGTTCTCGAGTTCTGGATCCTGGTAATGACTACGGTGAGGTAGATGAGAAACTTACTTCAGTCTTTCCCTACAACATCGAAATTAGACCTCCAGGTGATGAATCACATCTTGTCAGCTGGAAGACTCAACTGGAAGAAGACATGAAAAAGATCCAGGTTCAGGATAACAAAAACCATATTTTGGAAGTACTTGCAGCAAATGATCTTGATTGTGACGATCTAGATTCCATCTGTGTGGCAGACACAATGGTTCTTAGTAACTACATAGAAGAGATTGTCGTGTCAGCAATTTCTTATCATTTAATGAAAAACAAAGACCCAGAGTACAGAAATGGCAAACTTGTTCTTTCATGCAACAGGTGAGCCTAAGACTGACAGCCTTTCTTCGCATCTACTGCCTTTTTTTTTTCCCCATTTTCTTACTATATATTTTTTTGTGGAATAGTTTATCTCAAGCATTGAGTATATTCCAAGAGGGAAAGTCATATGGAAGAGACACGTTAAAATTGGAAGCTCAAGATGTGAAGTCTGAGGTTTGCATCATTTGTCAATGTCTAATCATTATTAAGCTTGGAACTATAATTTTGTTAATATATATTTATAACAAAAACTATAGTAAGCCACACATATTCTCCATCTAGAAACAATGTACCTCATTTTTTAAATTTCATGTAACGTATGGAGGAGTATGTCTAGTCAAATAATGTATTATGTCTGTATCCACGTTTTTTTCCCCCCGCTTATTTTCTTGGTCCTTCCCTTTATACAGAAGGAAAAAGGGGAAGCTGCTGCTGTGAAGCCTGAAGCGAAGTCTGAAAATGCAGCTCCAGAAAAGAAAACTGTAGGAGCAACAACAGCTTCAGTGGCAAAGGCCGAGAATGCAACTTCAGTTCCTCAAGAACCCAAAGTTGCTGTAAGCCTCAACCTTTGATTTTATAAGAAAAAGAAAATTTCATTATTGATAACCTTTATGTCTGAAAATTGCCTCATTGTTACCTTATAGGAACCTCCTCCAGATAATGAATTTGAGAAACGAATAAGGCCAGAGGTAATAGCAGCAAATGAGATTAATGTGACATTTGATGATATTGGTTCCTTAGAAGAGACCAAAGAATCCCTTCAAGAACTAGTGATGCTTCCACTACGGAGGCCTGACCTTTTCACCGGAGGCCTTCTGAAGCCTTGTAGAGGAATATTGCTGTTTGGTCCACCTGGCACAGGAAAGACAATGCTGGCTAAGGCCATTGCAAGGGAGGCTGGAGCAAGCTTCATCAATGTATCCATGTCTACCATAACTTCCAAATGGTTTGGTGAAGACGAAAAGAATGTTCGAGCTTTGTTCACATTGGCAGCTAAGGTCTCCCCAACTATTATATTTGTTGATGAGGTCGATAGCATGCTTGGCCAACGCACAAGAGTTGGAGAGCATGAAGCCATGAGGAAAATAAAGAATGAATTCATGACTCACTGGGATGGCCTTATGACAAAACCAGATCAGCGCATCCTTGTTCTTGCTGCAACAAATAGGCCCTTTGATCTAGATGAAGCCATTATTAGGAGATTTGAAAGAAGGTATCTCTTCCTAGTTCCTCTTGCTCTCTTCTTTTACTACTTCTGTTTTAGTGTATGTTGAGTTGTGGGATGTACAATTAGATGACAGAGTATGGTGATTATGAGTGGAATATTGCTGAAATATATATATTTTTAAATTTTGATAAACAGAATTATGGTAGGGCTTCCATCAGCAGAGAACAGGGAGAAGATTTTGAGAACTCTATTGGCAAAAGAAAAGGTAGATGATGAAGTTGACTTCAAGGAATTAGCAACTATGACAGAAGGATATACTGGAAGTGATTTGAAGGTATTTAATGCTTTATAATATTTTCTGATGTTATTCTCAATGGTTTTAATAATCTTCCATTGGTGCATTTGCTATATTATTCACCATCACTTTGAATGGTTGCAATACAGAACCTTTGCACAACCGCTGCTTACCGGCCTGTCAGAGAGTTAATTCAGAAAGAGAGACTGAAGACTCTGGTAACAATAAGTCTAATGGTGTGTTCATTATGATGATAGTTGACTCATGAGTACTCATTCTGTTTTCCTCCTTACAGAAGAAGAAGCAGAAAGCTGCATATAAAGATGTACAAGGTAGACAAGGGGAAGAATCAACAGTAGAAAATGCCCCAGATGCTGGGAATGCACAAGAGGAAGTTGAACAGGAAAGAGTTATTGTCCTTCGGCCATTGAACATGGAGGACTTCAGAGAGGCGAAAAATCAGGTAACGATTCTCTTTCATCTTAAACTTCATGGAGTTTTCTCTTAACTACATAGAATAATGAATGACATAGAAAATAGAATGAAAAACGATTGTGGTGTTATAAGGTGACGCAAACTGTTGAATAATGATTCTAGATATAATAAACATAGCAGAAGAGTAAACTAAAGAAAATGCCTTTCCTTGATACAAATGTCAATGCTTCATGTTTCAAAACTTTTGGAACACAGGTTGCGGCAAGCTTTGCATCTGAGGGAGCTGGAATGAATGAGTTGAAGCAGTGGAATGACTTGTATGGTGAAGGTGGTTCGAGGAAGAAACAGCAATTGACTTACTTCCTGTGAGATTTGAATGAAAGGAAGAATCCACAACTAAATCCTTCTGGCAGGACCATAAGTCTCCCTGTCCCAAATGAGATGATATTGAGGAGATCGCTTTCCACTGAGCAAACATCCTTCAAGCAATAAGTTAAAGTTGATGAGTTTTGTCAGTGTAGTACACTAGCACAAGAACAGCTACGTTTAGTGTTGTCCATGGCCCATGGATAAGGAAAGAAACATATAGTCCATAGTTTAAGTAATTATAAATATATAGAGCCAGTCTTATAGATTAGTTTGTATTATCTATACAATGGTGTGATCAGCTTTCTGTATGTTACTAAAATTTAGAGGGGCATTGTTTGTCAGCATGATGTTTGATTATTTTATCAAACTTCCTTTCTTATAATGGAAAAGGAAAAAAAGTCGATGATTCAATGTTTATGTTATTGCTTAGCTTGTATTTTAACATCCACAAACTGAGAGCGATGCTGATACAGTAGGGATTTTTTTTATTTTTATTATGAATACAACTGCATTTATAGTCTAAAAGTAAGAACATCTACCCCGTCTAAGCATAAAAACATATTGCTAAGATCCTTGTGCAAAAGAGAATATCTAATTGGGCTTGATTTCAATACATGAAACTGCATCTCGGACTTGAGCAAAATTAATAAGCATCCTGTCCCTGCAACAAAAATCCAGACCAATAAATCCTAAACAGAATACCACAAAAGAGCTCCAAAGTTGCACATCGCTTATCAGAATAATATTGCTCATTCCATCCCACATTCCATAAGTAAGTTTCTTTATTAAAGAGTGAAACCTCAACAACAATTTGTTTCTTTATCTGAATGTAAACGTCGATGCCATTTGCTAACCCAAATGGATTGGATGCCACTTGAAGTACTTGAATTTATCCGACGCAACGACATCTGTTTTCGTTAACCCCTCCTCATATCAATGAACCGTCAAGTCTCATCCCAGTAAGTTCCAAGTTACTCAACCAGTAATGGTTGGACATAATCAAAGCTGCATGGACAACCCTATTCCATGCTCCCCAGTGATAGACAGAGAATAATCCCCTTAGTAATATTCATCTGAGTCTCATCCTTGATATCTCAGTGTGCTAGCCACTTTGTTGGTTTGACTGTTCTATTTTGTTACATATTTTTACATATAATTTAGGGAGTTTATTATGATTTTTAGGCATATTTGCAGCAATTGTGAGTATTTGTGCTAAGAGTTAATTTACTAAATAAATGATTAAAGGATCAATTTATCAAACTTTATTGCTTTTATTATTTTCTTAATCTCATCCTGGATATCTCGGTACCACTTTGTTGGTTTGACTCATTCAAAATATTGTGGCTCACGTGGCTTATGTGTCCGGTGTTTGAATCTCAGGTTTACCAATTAGTTTTAAGTCATCATCTTAGTGGGTCAAGTTAGTGTGCCAATGGGTCCAATATCTTCAGTCAGTTTTTAGTGGTCCTGATGCTCAGCATCTGTTTGTTATTATTTTATCTGTTTAATAGCCCCCCTGCGTCGCATATCATTCAAGCATTAGAGAGTGAATTTTCAGCATCTATTTTTCCTTGCTTTTGCCTTTGTCCATTTTCCACCAATTGCAATTTAATTTTTCTTTTACCAACAATTGTGGTACCCTTCTTTTTTCTATTGTAACGTAAAGAGTGTGAGAGTAAGCGAGTGTGAGAGAGTCAAAGACGAGAGCTTGTGAAAAGACATTTTCTTATTACACAAAACATGAACCAATTTAAACAAGAAATGAAGGTAGAAAAAGATTCGGATTAGTATTTTGAAAACCCTACCATAGTTATAAAGAGTCAGGCTTACTAAGTAGATTAACTATGAAAAGAATTAATCACAATAAAAAATCTATCACAGTTAAAAGAAGCTTTTCTTCAAATACAATAAGGGCCCACAAGCCCAAGAACAACTACAATAAGGTCATGGGGCACACTAACCATTCACAAAACTCATCACACACAACCATCATAACAAGACTCAGGGCACAAGAAATAAAGGGCTAAACTTACCCCACAAGTCATATACCTGCTCAACCCAAATAATCACAGCACAGTTGAAATCATCAACGTTATATATGCTCTCCAAAATAAAATCCAGTATGAATCTACCAAAGAGTCACATGCAACAATATCATATGGTTTGCAGCCGTCCCAACAATATACATATCAATACATTTTCAAGCCACTAGAGGCCTACTAGGCTATGCATGCCTATGCCTTTGGTTGCTTCTTTTTGCTCCAAGCCAAACTATGAGGTTATCTGAAAACAATAAAGAACAAAGTGATGAGACAATTAAGTTCTAATAATTGAGAATCAATTTACAACATATACAAGTACAAGAGTAAGTTGGTGAAATAATGCCATACAAAAATATCTTAATTCACAGAATATGTAACCACAGATGCAATAATAAACATAATAATTTATGCCCTTTCATCCACTGTACTCCTCCTTATTACTCTTTGATATGGACTCAAACCTTCCATATCAAGTAACAGACCAAAGGTTACTCCACTCACTTTAAACCTTCCATGTTAAGTAACTCGACCAAAGATGACTCCACTTCAAGTCAACGAGCTGTTTCCTACACCTACACCACCCAAGGATGTACTATGATGCAAGAGATGTGTACCTAATAGCTCATTCTTAATTCCAAGCTAGGGAAAATGAAGAACTTCATGGATTGGTAGTGTAGGTGTGCTACACAGGTGAAAAGCATGTCATTTTACCCTTCAAAAATTCTAAACTAAATGTAGTAAAAGGTGAAATCTAGCCTAGGTCATCATGTCTCAAAAGAGCTTGATTATATCAAGATTACCTAATGAATCTAATAAGCCACAAGTTAACAATTTACCAAATTTTAAGTAGATGGAGTGATTAACCAAAAGAATGCAATATGTTATTTGTATCTATTTTTTTAGCTTCTTGATTATTAAAAAAGTAGACAACAAGAAATTAAAAGGATCAAATGATAGAAAATGGAGCTAAAAATGTTATAATGGTGTTCACCTAGAGATAGCCTTCACTCTCCTCATCTACTTACAGTCAGGAGAATAAAGAAAAATTGAATGATTAAGAATTATCTAGAAACTCACCAGAGCACTTATCACCAATCCTATGACTATAGCAAATCAATAACAAGCTCAAATTATTCTGCTTTAGACAAGTGAGAATGAAAACCTAATTCTCCAACTATTAGTCATAACTATGACTTCCATAGATGTAATTGCATCCATCATGAATATGAATCAACTCAACCAACATTCATAATTAAAAGATTCTCCTCTGTGTTCAAAACTTGGACTCAAGGGTAAAAAATGAGTAGATGAACACAAATAATATAGCTACTAATACTAGGGGAAAGACCAACGGTAAAAGTCATAAGTGAAACTGCAATAAGAAAATGGAACTTGAGCTCAAGATAGGTGAACAAGAGAATAGAGAAATTAATGTGATTTGAAAAATCCTCCCTCCCTAAACAAATTATGGTGAAGATATCATAGAGAAGAGGATGTTGAAGAATTTAATGGGTAGGGAATCAAGTCAAGCTCTCTTAGTTAGCTTCTAGATTCCTAATGAATTAGTGACATGGTAGAAAATAAACTCATCCAGTTATTCTCCATTAATTTTCAACTCCATCAGTCAACACACATACTTTTAAGTTTTCCCTCACTTGATGTTTTAGTCAAGAATTGATGGAAGAATGTTCTTCCCTCTAAATTTTATTTCCTATAGTAGAAAAACTTTTTCCATATTTTAAGAATGTCCTTAAATATCCTTCTTCAACTCGACCTAGCAAGGTCCTAAAACGGAATTCAAAGAAAAAAATGATTCACTTATAAAATATTCCAAGAATTATTAAAAATGCCAATATTTTGATACACAAAATTAATGTTCAAACTTGCTAGTTAATCCCAAAATCCAATATAAAAATGAGAGTTTGTCAATGGGCTTCAAGAATAGTCATCCACCACATGGTAAACACCAATCTTCACTTATGACCTATATGCATGATCACAATATAACAATTTTATCAAGGCAAGATTTATTATGACAAAGAATATACTTCCCGATCACAACATATACCTTTACTTCATAACATAACACAAATACTATACAAATACAAGCTTACATATTCAAGTCAACACACTTCTCACTTCACCAAAGTTCATCATCTAAGAAAAATACATATTTCACTCATAAACATATTTTCACAATTTAATTGAGTAATCAAAAGCAGTAAGGGCTCTTAAAGAGAAAAAATAAAACTAAATCAAGCTAAGATCTAATATAGTAGCCTAATCTAAGTTGAATTCACAAGGAGCCTTTTTATGGTTAAAATTCCTTAATTAATCCACTTTATATCAAATTAACAAATTAAAGACAACCAATTTCTTTTATTTATGTTAAACTGTCTAGGGTGTCTAATTTTTTTGGTTTATTGGCATATTTTGAATGTGTTGATGGTCATATATGAAATGGAAATTATTTATGTGAATGATATTTTTCCTTGAAGTAGTTACTTTGCCATCATAGTCTAAATAGAATTATGGAGTCTCAAGCCAAATTATTACATGATAAACCAAAACATTGTTCAATTTCATTGTGCAATTAGGTTATTAGAATCATCAACTAAATAATTCTAATGTCCTAATAGTAAAGGATAAGCTCCTTTAGCAAAGAAAGCAATAGTTCAACAATTCAAATATCTCTATAACAATTAGCACCGTGCATTATTTTAAACATTATTCAGATCAATCATACAAGCTGAAACAACTAGATCAGGAAATAAGATCAATCCTGCTCAGAATTAGAGGTAGCAACCATTCAATTAAGGTATTACAACTAAATCATTGTTCCATTATCTCTCTTTCTACTTCCTATAATTGAAGCATATCATCAACTGAAATAGCGCATTTGAACTACAATATAAATGAAATCAACTGAATTACTCACATCACAGATCAAATAAAAGTAAAAGAATCAAAAGAAACTCTCTAGCAATGCATAGACTTGAGCTTGGCTTTAACTTCCAAGAGAGATTGTGACTTAGCCTCTCATCAATGCAGCAACTCCACTAAGCTCCACAAAATGATTGGCCATGGAATCGAAGATGAAAATGAATGGTAATTATAATGGAAGATGGTGATGGAGGGATCAAGATGGTGGAAGTGATGAGATGGAGCTACGAAGTGGATGGAGGGAGAATGGAGTGAAGATCATATCTAAGATGAAAATGGCAAAGATATCTAAGGAGGTGAAAGTAATGATAGGTAATGAAAATGCAAAAGTGAATTGATACAACATGATGATGTGAATAGGAATTAAAAGAAAAATAGTGATGATAGAATCTCAGGTTTGGGTGTGAGATGGAATTCAAGAGATAG